CACTTTCAGTAAAGTGAATGTTCGCTCTTCTACTCTCCTACCTTTTCTTCTCTACCTTGGTTCTTCCACATACTCGATGAGGATGCCCTCTCTGTCATCATCTAAGCTGTTGATAAAGGTGTTGGGTAAGTCTGGGGCACCACATCCCTGCCGCACACCACTAGGTGCCTCCCTGAAAATTAAATTAAAAACAATCCTTTAATACCTTTGAATATGGTTTGCAACCACTTATAAATGCATTTAAGTAGCAATCATTCCAGCTCATATTTCTTTCATTTGGATAAAACAAAAAACAATTACTGTGTCCACTTTGCACCAGATACAAACACGAGACATGGCTCTTGCTTTCTAATGAGCCTAGAACTTGGGTGGGAAGAGGAAAATAGTAAGCAAACAGATGGTCACAATTTTCACAGTTGAGGATTCTTCTGTAAATACAGGGAAGGGAAGGCATTGCCTTAGTCTAGTCTTAAAAGATAACTAGGAATGAATGAGGTGAGGATGGGTACATGTTCCAGGCCAAGAGCATCAAATACATAGTAGCAGGTGACTGAGAGGTAAGTGGTTTGGAGACAGAGGTGAGGAAGGGGAAATGAAGCTGGGTAATAATATAGACCATATTGTGTAGAGCATGGTAAGCACATCATGCTATATTTTGACTATTGCTTGTGGCACTAATGATTTTCACCTTTCTTTTGCAATGAAGACCTTTATTTCAAGCAAATCTTCTACTGCCTTGATATTAGAATTGAGTCCATTAGATAGTATATAGAAGCAGCATTACTGAGACTGGTGTCCTGCTGGGTATTCCCTTTTCTACCCACCACTTCCATGGGCAGAGGCAACACATAATGAGATGCTGCATTAGAGTTGATTTGCTTCCTCACCTTGAATAATATAGCTCATAACGTGTGAACTGTTCTTCCATGTGTGTCATTCTCAGCACTGGTTTTGTAGGTTGGAGACATGTATCATTCTAAGGAATAAGGCTCCCAGATCTGAGCTTTAGTAAGTTACTCTGTCACAAGAATGGGGAAGAAAGAATCTAATGGACTCAATTCTAATATCAAGGCAGTAAATGATCTAATGCAAGGTGGGGGTAGGGAAAGGAGGGAGTAGGTAGAGGGGGAGGTGGGGGGATGGGGGTTCACAGAATATGACATACCTCTTAGGGGCAGGACACAAGTATAAGATGGTCTTTACCTAACAAATGCAATCAGTGTAACCTAATTCTTTGCACCCTCAATGAGTCCCAAACAATTGAAACCAAAAAAAAAAAAAAAAAAAAGAAAGAAAGAAAGAAAGAAAAGAAAGTTACTCAGAGAGAATGTGGAGAATGCAATGAAAATGGACCTGTTTCATGTGGGCAAGAGACTTGAACAGAAGCTTCTCTGAAAAAGACAGGAACATGGCCTACAGACACATGAAAAAATGCTCATCATCTTTAATCATCAGAGAAATGCAAATCAATACCACTTTGAGATATCATCTAACTCTAGTAAGATTAGCCCATATCACAAAATCCCAAAACCAGAGATGTTGGCATGGATGTGGAGAAAAGGGAATACTTATGCACTGCTGGTGGGAATACAAGCTAATACACTCTTTTTGGAAAGAAGTTTGGAGAACACTTAGGGATCTAAAAGTAGACCTGCCATTCGATCCTGCAATTCCTCTACTAGGTATATATCCAAAAGGCCAAAAATTACTTTACAACAAAGCTACTTGCACCAGATTATTTGTTGCAGCTCAATTCATAATTGCCAAGTCATGGAAGAAGCCCAAGTGCCCATCGACCCATGAATGGATTAATAAATTATGGTATATGTATACCGTGGAATATTATGCAGCCTTTAAAAAGATGGAAACTTTACCTCTTATATGTTTACATGGATGGAGCTGGAACATATTCTTCTTAGTAAAGTATCTCAAGAATGGAAGAAAAAGTATCCAGTGTACTCAGTATTATTATGAAACCATTTTATAATCATCCACACTTTCATATGTAAGATAAAACACAACTATAGCCCAGGATGAAAGAGGGAAGAAGAGGGGGAAGGGAGAGGAGGGTGGATGGAGGGAGGGTAAATGATGGAACCACACCTATGGTGCATATTGCAAGAGTACATGTCAAATCTATTAAGTGTGGAGTATAAATGTCTTAACACAGCAATTAAGTAAGTGAGGTGAAGGGTATGTTAACCAGTTTGAGGTAAGCATTCCAAAATGTACATAAAATCAGCACATTGTACCCCATAAATGCTTCAATGTATACAGTTATGATTTAATTTTAAAAATATGCACAAGAAATAAAGCTTGTGCTTTATTTTCAAATACAAAAAGAAAAATATTGTATTGGTTTTCAAATACAAAAAGAAAAGAAAGAAAGTGAGCCTGTCGTGAAACCAAGGGGAAGGCCATTTCTGTAAAGAACAAATGAGGGTTTTGTTTAAGGCCAGGCCAGTGGGCTACTTCACATGTGCCAGCCCAACAGAAAAAAAGACACGATTTATCTACTTTGGCAGTTGAGGAAGCTGAGGCTTAGAGGTTAAGCGATTTGCCCAAAGTCAAGAGGAGAGCAAGTGGCAAATTGTGGCCTCAATCTGTATCTTGACTCCTCCTCCAGCTGAGATCCCATGATACCCTTTCCAGCCTCCTTCTCAGCCCTTTTCTTGCTCTCCTCTGGTTCTCCATTATTACAGGATAGGAAGGTTTATGTGGGTATTTGCCTTCCTCTCAAGACCTTTCCTGACATTCAGTTGGCATTCAGTGGATGTTTATTAACAGAATGTTTGCAAACCCTTTTGGTCAATTTACCAAAAGGACACCAAAGCACCTTCATTCTTAAGGAAACTGCACATTCTAGCACATACTAGGAGTCAGGCATCAGGAAGACGACCCGATGGGCCCAGAGGTCTCCAGCTGTTTCCATAGCACCCCCAGCAGGCAGTCACTGACTGCGGTGACTGGTCCCCAGTACCTGCCAAAGCAGCTGGCGGTCCTTGTATAACCCCATCCTACTCAAGGAGATTTCACACTTCCCCTGTATCTTTGAGGAAGAAACTGCAGCCTCTTATTTATCACAGACTACCAGTGGGGCCAAGTTGCTGAGCTTCCTTTGCAAAATATTTCTCTCTCCTCTGTCCTCTTGAATCACTTCGGAGCCTTCTAGCTTAAGGAACTCATGCTTCCTGGGTTTCCACTTTTTTTTTTCCTCAAAAGAGTCTTCTCACCAAATAAGAATCTATGGGCTGCTATATCCCAAGCTCTGTGCCTTTATAAGAACCATTGCTAATTCAACTATAAAGGAGATAAAGGAAAAGGTAGGATTGGGGCAAAACATGTGCCATGGGGTCACAGTTTTTGCCTCTTCTGTTTCTACTTCCTTCGGTAGCCAAGGAGGAAATCCAAGCACTGTTGGAATGTGGTCCCTGCTCGTGCCTGATAGAAGGGCCACCCCTCAGGGTGGCAGGAAGTTCCCTATCCATCTATCTCCAGGCAGATATTGTAATTGTCACCCTAGAGACCATCTGTCATGTATTTCACTGCTCTGTTCCCGTTGACATTTGTATTAAATTAGGTGGGAAATGGGCCCACGCACACTGCTAATGGATGCTACATTTTGGAAATATGTGATTTAATCTTTATCCAGTAAGTGAAGGTTTGTTTTTTTTTTTAAGCTGGTTTAGTTCATTGCCTCGAACATCATAGCTCATAATGTGTTAAGTGGATTTTCCACGTGTGTCCCTGGAGAGTTACGTGAAAAGTACAAAGAGAAAACTAGCTCTTGGGAATCAATGAGAGGAAGAAAGGTAACTGAATTTAAATTATACACAGCAATACTTTAAAGCATGATGAGACGCTTCAGAGGAGACTCGTGCATTCATACGTCAGAAGTAAGATTTGTCTTGGACAAAAATGTTCCCGTGTAACTCTTACTGATCTGTCATATACCCTCATGTTGCATTTCCTTGTGTCAGACTCTTTGGGGTGTAAAACGCACTGAGTTTCCTGTGTTTCGAAATTCCTTAAATAAAAGATATAAATTCCAGGTAATCTGAAAAAGAACTATAGAATTTAACTGTTTCTGGCTTCGTGTTCTCATTCTTTCTGAGCTTGTGCATAGCCTGCTACAACAAGCTTTCTAAATTGCGATATGATCGTCAGATACACTCTATTAGGAATATAACTATTTTCATAAATAAATAAATAAAACTATTTTCTTTATTTTTTTAAGACATGTTTTCCCAATTTTCTGGTAGTGAGCTTATATAGCTTTTTTAAAAATTAAATATATTTGATGAAGTTGGCTTAAGAGATAGAACCAAAAATATTATCATCGTGGCTTCTTAGAAAAATGGCCTCAAAGAAAAACCAGACTGACATTACCTGGGGCTCCCTGCTGAGGATCTGATACCGTCAATGGGAGAGAACTTTCTCTAGGTCATCTCTGCCAATGTCATGCATGGGTCTCCAGCCTTCTATTCAACCCCCTTTCCTTTCTCTGCACCTCCACCTGTGACATTTTAAGTGGTCTGTCCTACATTCAATTCCTATCAGTCACCTTTACAGCTCTTAAAAACTGGAACCTCAGTTGTTATCTTTCCCTCCTGGATCTCTGGCTTCACTATCAAATTAATCCTTTACCCCTGCTTTAAAAAATTTTTTTTCTTAATAGTGTAGTAAATACATATCACGTGAAATTTACCATCTTAACCACATTATGACATACAGTTCAGTGGCATTAAGTACATTCACATTGTGCAATCACCACCACCCTTCCATAAGGAATTAGAATTAGTTCCTATTCCATGCCACTACCACCATCAGGAAACTGCCATCCTAAAATGATTAACTGTAAGAGGAGAAATGAGATTTTAATTTCCTGGTATACCCTTTGTCTCTTAGGGCTGGACAACTGAGTTTTAAAAGGGTTCCTGTTCATTTATGTAACACATTAGTCAAAATGAATCTCCTCTTTCCTTCTTCTCTTTAAACAGCTCTGAGCAGCGAGTTCCCTGTTCCACTTCTTACCATAGCTCTGGTTTGCACTCGGGTGATGGTGTCACAAAAGCAGGACCCATGGGCCTTCCAGAAATAAGACAAGTGCCAACTGTTGTGATTGAATGTGATGACAATAAAGAAAATGTGCCTCATGAATCAGACTACGAAGATTCTTCTTGCCTGTACACAAGAGAAGAGGAGGAAGAGGAAGAGGACGAAGATGATGACAGCTCATTGTATACCAGTATGTTCATCCAACCTCTTCACTGTGGGCAGAGGACAGCATGGTATTGTGAATAGAGAGCACCCAGTGCCCAGCTGTCTGGGTTGTGACCCTGAGTGTGGTGTTAACTAGTCCTGGATCATACTGACCCTGAGTGTGGTGTTAACTGGCCCTGGGTCATACTGACCCTGAGTGTGGTGTTAACTAGTCCTGGGTCATATTGACCCTGAGTGTGATGTTAACTGGCCTTGGGTCATACTGACCCTGAGTGTGGTGTTAATTGGCTCTGGGTCATAGGGCTGCTCAATTAACCTCCAAGGTTCTCACTTCATATACCAGCAATATGAGAGGGTAAATGCCCTCAAAATGCCCTCGTAACCCTAAACATTGCAACACCATGCTACATCTCCTACCTCTTCAGATGACTTTCTTCGCTGCTTCCCTTGAGGTACACACCAAAAAGAGGGGGAAGGAGAGAGGGATTTTTTTTAAAAAAAGCTTAAAAATCTGCTCCCACCTAAAAACACTCAGAAATACTAACCATTGTGTATGCCACAAATTCATTTTTAAACATATCTTGGCAACTTTAGAAGGCTTGAATGTAAATTTCTCATTTAAGACCTTTAAATGTGCTAAGAGACAAGAGAAGAAATAAAGAAAGCAAAGTTCTAAATCTCTCACTCTGGCCATGAAAAATAAATAAATTTTAGTTATGTGAGCACAGCCTGATAATTGGCCACAGTTATGTGAGCACAGCCTGATAATTGGTCAACTTTCTAATAAGTGAATCTATAACCACCGTGCATTCAACATATACTGTATGCCCAACAGTAGGCTGAGATTTTAGTCTCTTACCTACATCTCATAGCAACCCAGTGAGACTATTACCCCCACTTTACAAACAAGGGAAGAAAATGGAGAAGTAAGGAGCTAGCCCAGAGCCTCACTGCTGGGGTGGGGATGTGGGAGGGGGGCGTTCGGGATTTAATTGCAGCTATGTCAAATTCCAAAGTCCATGTTCCATTAAAACCAACACTACTGAATAAAGCCCCAAGGAATCCCCAGACTTGCTGCCTGCTCTGTGCTCACCAGGCTTCCGCTAGCGAGGTAAAGTTGCGGCCCGGTGAGAGCTCTGGCAAGCTCTGAGATGACCAAAGTAATGGTGAGGAGGGAACCACACAGGGCAGGTGATCCTTGCATGGACAGAGCAGCTACTCAGCCTCTGTTCACCATTTTGTACCCAGAGAATTGAATGTTTTATATCAAGACTTTGACCTTGGCACTCTTGGCATTTCAGACCAGATCACTGCTGGGTGATACTGACAGGCAGCGTCCTGTCCCCTGGAGGATGTTTATTTACCCAGCCCACTCTATGCCAGTAGCAACCTCCTCCTGCCACCTCAGCTGTGATAACTAAAAATGCTCTAGGCCTTGCCAAGTGTCCCCTGGGGAGCAAAATCATCCCTAGTTAAGAACCATGAATTATACCCAAAGTAAGGAAGTCCTACCCTGGCTGCTTAGAAACCTGCATATTAAAAAGAAAAAGCAATCCCAGGATATTGCCTGTTTAAAGCCCTCACCTCCACTCCCACCCCAAACAGGCCCCACTGTGTCTGTCCAGATTCACTCCCCTTCATGTCCCCCAACTCCAGCAGAGTTGATCTCTTCTGTCTCCTGAGATTTCCTGGCGTATCCGTCACCACTGGGCTTTGGCAGATGTAGGTTCCTACCAGCCTGCTGCCTGGTGGAACCTCATCTCTTCTTCAGGTGTCAGCCCCTCCTCCTCGTGAAGCCTTCCTCAGTTCCTAAAGCCTCTGGCCTGTCTCCCCCTTTGCAGTGTCCTGCACCCACAGCTGGTCCTGCCCTCCTTTGTGATGTTGCCTGCATACTGGATGTTCTGGAGAGCAGAGCTTCACTCGCCCTCCTTACACTCCCCACCTGCCCCACACAGCACTAGGAATATATGTAGTAATGGCAGGGACTCTGCAAATTGTGGCCTTTACCACTCTGAGGTGTTAAGCCTTTGATGCCTTTCTTCCTGCCTTGTACCTTATGGCCCAAGACTGGCCGTGGGAGAGCCCACGCAAATATGTGTCAGCTTTAATTAAGTCATTTTTCCCTCCTGCAGGCTCCCTGGCCATGAAGGTGTGTAGGAAGGACTCCTTAGCCATCAAACTCAGCAACAGGCCCTCTAAGCGAGAACTAGAAGAAAAGAACATCCTTCCCAGGCAAACAGATGAGGAGCGGCTGGAGCTGAGGCAACAGATCGGCACCAAGCTCACCAGGTAGGATGCAGCACCCTCTGTCCTCCTGGCAGCAAGCTCTCCACACTGCAGTAGAAAAGTTTAGTCTCTACCCACAATTCAGTCTTTGATGTCTCTTGAGTAACTTACTGTGAAAAGAGGCAACAGAAAACATCCCATTTTGTCTCCCGGGATGCTTCTATAGTTCCTTCTCCTTCACTCATCTGAGTCTTAGAAACTTTACTTGACTCAAGTTTCAGGGAGGAACTGGCAGGTTTCCAGGGAGATTAACCATCTGTAAAAAAAGTTATCACCCAATAGAATTGAGAACCTGTGTTTAGAAGAATTGTGATTTGGGTAAGCACAAAATGATCAGATGAACACTCTGCTGTCCTGTTAAGGGGTTGGTAGTGATGCCTCATTACCACACTCTTCTTGAGTGATTGCCCCATATGGGTACTACAGACACAGGTACAGCTTTGTGTTACATTAATATATCCAACAACTGTGAATGTGTTTGTACGCTAAGGCGTGTTTGTTTGGTATCAGGAGACATTTCTTTGAGCAGTTACTATTGGCCAGCATTGTTTGAACATTGTACATGCATTAAATCATTTAATCTTTGACCCTCTCTATGAGATACAGGTGAGAACACCAGGCATAGAGGACTTTAGTTACCTTGCACAACATCTCACAGGACAGCTCTGGAGCACTCCCTCTGGAGCCCTAACTTTTTTACCAGGCACTGTGCAGAGGGTTTGGATGTAACATGAAAGTCTACTGGGGCCTCATCCTGACTCTCTCGCTTACTAGCTGAATAGCCTTCCATAAGGCACTAGCTCTCTCTGCCTATCTTTCTGCATTTTTAAACAGAAATTAAGTTAATGTAAGTATTTAAAGCAGTGTCTGGCCCACAGCAAGCATTCAATTAGCTGTTGTCATTAGCACCCTCACATTGCGCAGCTGAAGAAAGTGGTATCTAAAGAAGTTATACGAGCATAGGCGGCGTCATCGGGGGTATGCTAGTGTCTTCCCTCCCACCTGATTTATTTTATTACCTAAGGGCAGCTTCTTTCTCATACTTTGTTCCTTTCTTAAGGATGATGTAGTAATGGTTCTGGGCTGTGTAAAAAGGTCAACACTAATAGATGATTTGACCTAGTCTTCAGAGTCAGAATGGAAATATCTACCCACCTGCTACACACACACTTTCTTTCATTGAATGAAGTAAGATGGCCACAGTGTGGTTGTCCAGATCTCTTTTGATACCTCAGTGATAGCTACAACTCTCTAGAATACCCATCCCCTTATCAGAGAACCTGATTGTTAAACATTCTTCTTCTATTGAACTGAAATTACTGTCCATGCAGCTTCCACCCACTGTTGTTATTCTATTTTTTCTGCAGACTCATTCCTCCTAAGAAGGCATGCCTTAGAGTACTTGGAGGCAATAATCCTGATCTGTTCTTCTGTCCTAGGCCATATATAACCAGATCTTATCTCTGGGTTGGGTGGGTAGGATTTGAGTTGCTTCCGGTCCCAGCTTGTTCACATTTGCATGTTATCCTTTGAGGGATTAGGAAAAAGAGGACGAATAGTTCCTTGACCCAGCCCTCCTTCCCAGACAAAGTTCAACTCCAACCCCAAACATGGGTATCCTTGTCATACTTTCCACCTTCACTTCCCCAACTGCGCTACAGTGCAAACCAAGCCCCAGATATATGAGGGCCACATGAAGACTTACCTACAGATGTGAGGTGCCAATGCATCTAGCTGCCTGGGGTGTTCTCTTCTGAGGAAAGCAAGAAAGAGAGAGAGACATAGGAAGCAGCGTGAGAGGCTGAACCTCCACTTGTCCACAGTAGGGCCCTTATACCTGGTGTTGACTGATGTCATGAAAAAGAACATCATTGTCCCAAAGCATAGTGCTAAAAATAGAGACAGCCCCCAGCCTCTCATGCCTGAATACATAGCCACATATTGCCGCCATGAACACTGGCAACGGCTGCATCCCAACCCAGAGGTGGGAAGAGACCTAGACCCTGTACGAGAAGACGTTCTCTGAATCTGAAGTCTTGTCCTGGAAAAATCAACCCTTTCTTAACCCTTCTTCTTGTGAGGACATTTAAAGACTGCTTGGAATTAGTAAAATCCACTGACAATTTACCACAGTGTGCGTCCATTCCCAGCCCTCATTCCCTATGACGGATGGCAGGGGAAGACACACAGACTCAGGAGAAAAAGACCCAGGCAGAGAAAGCAGTGCTGAACACAGTCAAGGCACTGAGCTGGCCTGCATACTCCTCTGAATCCACCTCGTCTTTGTTCACTCTTTCTTCTTTGTGGTAAGACCCTTGGCAGGTCTAGCCAGATTACAGGGGCTGTGCTAAAGGAAAGGATGTCAGGAGGGTTTAGCAGCCTGGTATAAGGTTGTACGGAGTTCAGCAAATCAGGAGGATAGGCCAAATGTACACCTCTGTGTTGTCTCTGAGGTGACACACCCACTGGTGTATGCCCAAGGAGTTTTAGGGACTATGCCCTTCAGTTCTTACATGAGAGCCCAGCTTTGTGCTCCCAGACACTCATTTACTGTGAAGCCAGAACAGAGTGAAAAATCTCACAACCAAAATGTATCCATGGTAGAGAGAGTTTGGGTTCAAGCTCTGGTTCTGCCATCTTTTAAATATTAATTTTTT